ATTATTATTATTATTATTATTATTATTATTATTATTATTATTATTATTATTATTATTATTATTATCCATGAGTATTTGGATATATTTTGTAATTGTAAATGTAAGACAACCACAAATCCTTGGGCCCAAACTGGGATACACCCGAGGGTGCTGAGGGAACTGCCAAGCGTTATTGCTTATCCACTCTCTATCCTCTTCAAAAAGTCTTGGAGAACAGGAGAGTTGCCTGAGGACTGGAAGAAAGCCAACATTACTCTGTACTTCAAGCAGGGCTAGAAGGAAGACCCAGGAAACTACAGGCCACTCAGCTTCACTTTCATCCCTGGAAAAGTGATGGAACACCTCATCCTTGAGGCCATCTCTAATCACATGGAGGAAAAGAAGGTGATCAGGAAAAGTCAACACAGATTCCTCAAGGGGAAGTCATGTTTAACCAACCTGATAGCCTTCTATGATGAAATGACTGGCTGGATGGATTAGGGGAGAGCAGTGGATGTTGTCTACCTTGACTTCAGCAAGACTTTTGATACTGTATCCCATAACGTCCTCCTGGGCAAGTTCCGGAAGTGTGGGATCTATGAGTGTACAGTGGTGTGGATCAAGAACTGTTTGAATGGCAGAGCTCAGAGGGCTGTGCTTCAAGGGTGCCAAGTCTAGTTGGAGGCTAGTGGTGTCCTCCAGGGGTCAGTACCGGGTCCAGTGCTATTCAACTTAATTCATCAGTGATCTAGATGAAGGGGCAGAGTACACTCTCAGCAAGTTTGGGGATGATACAAAGCTTGGCAGAGTGGCTGACACACCAGAGGCCTGTGCAGAAATTCAGAGAGACTTGGACAGGCTGGAGAGTTGGGCAAAGAGGAACCTCATGAGGTTTAACAAAGGCAGTGCAGGGTCCTACACCTGGGGAGGAACAACCCCAAACACCAGTACAGGTTGGGGGCTGAACTGCTGGAGGGCAGCTCTGTGAAGAGGGACCTGGGGGTCTTGATGGACAAGTTAACCATGAACCAGCAGTGTGCCCTGTGGCCAAGAAGGCCACCTCAAGAGAGGTGATCTTCCCCCTCTACTCAGCTCTGGTGAGGCCACACCTGGAACAGTGTGTGCAGTTCTGGGCTCCCCAGTGGAAGAGGAATGTATAATTTCTAAAGAGGGTCCAATGTAGAGCCACAAAGATAATTAAGGAATAGGAGCATCTCTGCCGTGAGGAAAGAGTAAGTGAGCTGGGCCTGTTTAGCCTAAGAAGAGGAGGTGGAGAGGGGATCTTATCAACCGCTACGAATACTTGAGGGGACAATGTGAAGTGGATGGGGCCAAATTCTTCTCAGTGGTGACCAGTGATAGGACAAGTGGTAATATATATAAACTGGAGGTTTCATTGCCATATGAGGAAGAAATTCTTTACAGTTTGGGTGACAGCACTGGAACAGGCTGCCCAGAGAGGTTGTGGAGTCTCTTTCTCTGGTGACATTCAAAACCCACCTGAATGAAATCCTGTGTAACATGCTCTAGGTGACCCTGCTTGAGCAGAGGGATTGGACTAGATGATCTCTTCCAAACTCCACCATTCTGTGATTCTGTGATTCTGTGATGCTGTAATAGATTAAAAAATAATAATAATAAAAAAAAAAATGAGAGAGAGAGAAATTTCCTAGGGAGTTCATCCCCTGTTTTGTTTTGTTTTATCAGATATTTTTAGGTGTTATTCATTAGAAGATGTCTTTCCCACACTGGCCTTATTGTGAGAATTATAAGATAATGCAGCTTATACAATTTGGTAAAGGAACATCCAGCTGCTCTTCAGATGCCCATGAACATTGTTTTAGGGTTCTGGCTACTATCAACATTGCACCAGAGATAATCAGAATATACACTGACAGAAGAATAAGACCACTTGGTTTTCAGCTGTCACTCTAAATTGCTCACTGTTGATGTCAGTGTTAAAAAAGAAACAGGTAAGGAAAAAAAGAAATCTACATGTCTGTTTCCTAGTTTACTTGGTGCTTTGAATGAGGAGATGCTGGTATGTTATGATTCAAGTAAGAAAGTCTCTCAATCTCTTCAATGTATCATTTAAAATGTTATTTATTAGAGCTAACACTATAACTACTGCATAGATAATAAGGTAGTATAGGATGGTATACATATTCTTAAATCCCTTTAAAATTTTGAGCAAGTTTGCTGATGACACCAAACTTGGAGGAGTTGTGGACTCGAATGAGGGTGGAAAGGCCTTGCAGAGGGATCTGGATAGGTTGGAGAGCTGGGCGATCGCCAACCGCATGAAGTTCAATAAGAGCAAGTGCCGGGTCCTGCACCTGGGACGGGGAAACCCTGGCTGCACGTACAGACTGGGCGATGAGACGCTGGAGAGCAGCCTAGAAGAGAGGGATCTGGGGGTCGTGGTAGACAACAAGTTGAATATGAGCCGGCAGTGTGCCCTGGCAGCCAGGAGGGCCAACCGTGTCCTGGGGTGCATCAAGCACGGCATCGCTAGTAGGTCAAGGGAGGTGATTGTCCCGCTCTACTCTGCGCTGGTGCGGCCTCACCTCGAGTACTGTGTGCAGTTCTGGGCACCACAGTATAAAAAGGACATGAAACTGTTGGAGAGTGTCCAGAGGAGGGCTACGAAGATGGTGAAAGGCCTGGAGGGGAAGACGTACGAGGAATGGCTGAGGGCACTGGGCCTGTTCAGCCTGGAGAAGAGGAGGCTAAGGGGAGACCTCATCGCAGTCTACAACTTCCTCGTAAGGGGGGTGTCGAGAGGCAGGAGACCTTTTCTCCATTAACACCAGCGACAGGACCCGCGGGAATGGAGTTAAGCTGAGGCAGGGGAAGTTTAGGCTGGACATCAGGAAGGGGTTCTTCACAGAGAGAGTGGTTGCACACTGGAACAGGCTCCCCAGGGAAGTGGTCACTGCACCGAGCCTGACTGAATTTAAGAAGAGATTGGACTGTGCACTTAGTCACATGGTCTGAACTTGGGTAGACCTGTGCGCTGTCAAGAGTTGGACTTGATGATCCTTAAGGGTCCCTTCCAACTCAGGATATTCTATGATTCTATGATTCTATGATAAACAATGGGAACCCCAGGAGGGTGTACCTTTGAATGGGTCTCTGGTCCACATGCAGCATGCTGGACCAAACCCATCCATAGAAAAGATTCTAAAATTTTAGGCATTTGAGCTGAAAATCAATAATTTTCTTATAAGGAAACAACTCTATTCCTCGCTTTCATAGACATGCAGAAATTACATTCACATGAGAACTTATTGCTACAATTTTATATAAAACAAAGGCCACTCAAGTTGGCATAATTACTTGTACCAAGTAGGAGCTGCTTGCAGACTCTTCTGTTACAATGAGATGCCTATGCTTGTCCTGCAGTAAAGAGATGTTTCAAACACAACACAGCCTGAAGGCCATCCTGGCTGTGCAGCACAGGCCT